GCTGTTGCCAGGCAACATGCTCGCCACTGACCAGAGAGGAGTTTCCAGGACGCTAACATGAGCCTCAGTGTTGATGACATGGTGCCTTTGTAGATGCGGCCAGGACATCCCCAAATTTCCTCACACTGTAATAAATTTTAATTGCTGATGTGTGCTAGTCATTGCTAAACAAAGTAGAGAGAAAGGGTTCCATTTTGGGGGTCCAGCGTTTGGTTTTTAGCAGGGTATATTTTTTCTCTACCACTTAGCCCAACTTGGCCAACCACAAATAAGAGCCTAATGTTCCCATACACTCCTCCAAAATTTAGAGTTCAGGAACTCCCTGGGTATCCAAGACTGGATTCTTGCTCATAGTGCCCTGCCTTGTGGCCTTACAATCTCTGTCATGGGTAGAGAAAAACAAAATCCTAACCCCCACAGTCTTGAGCTGGGAATGCTGAATCAGAGACCCTTAATCTAGAAGCTCCGCTCATGCCAAATATGGACAGAGTTTCTGACACTACTAATTCCCTTCCTTCCTTCCTTTCTCCCTCCCCCTTCCTTCCTCATTCCTTCCTTCCTTCAGTCTTTTCTCCCTCCTTTGTCTCACTTTTCCCCTTCTTTCCTTTCCCTCTTTTGCCTCTCTTTTTCTCCATTCCTTCCTTTTTTGTTTTCTCACCTAGTCTCATTCCCAGAAATAGGTGTGAATAAAGACAAATGCTGGGCCTAAAAGTGCTAATGTAAACCTACAATTAGGATCTTTTCTCTGAGGTGTGGTGAAGAGCTAACTGGTTAATGTTTGAAAAATGCCGGGACATTCTTGAATAAAAGGCCCTATATAAGTTCAAAGTATTAGTAATTATTATGATTATTACTGTAATTTACAAGATTTAGCCATAAATCTCATAAAAGGATGAGGTCAACACTTTTAAAAAGGGGAAGGAGGACAGGGACTCTATATAAGTGCTGTGGACTCACTGATTCTAAGGACAAGAGCTATCTGAAGACAGGTGAGTACAAAACAGGTGTGGAACTCTTGCTGGGTTATTGTGGATGGAAAATCCAGTATACTCTGCTTGGTAATGATTGTGTCTCAGCTGCCGAGTAAATATGAAAAGTCAGATCAGATCTGACTTCTTCAGGGTCTTGAAACGAAACTTAAGTTTTACTTTTTGGTTTGATTTTTATAGGGCTGGAGGATCTACAGCCTTGTGCATACTAGGCTACCACCAAACTACACCCTCAGTCAAAACTCAATTTTAAAAGACATGTACCTCACAGAACAGTTTTTTTCTTGTTCATTACAATAGTTATAGAATTTTAGATTTCTTTTAATGGAAACATACACTTTCTTTTGGATTCTTGTGCATGTGTAGTCAAAGAATGTGAGAACAAAATATGTGTGCATTTAACAGGTCAAATAGGTGTCCTTTTTTTGTTGTTAATTCAAAGCCAAAAGACCAAAGTGTTTGCATTTTGCCAAATGGTACATTTCTTCCCTGTTCTCATGCTCAATCTTGCCAACACCGTAAGTGTCAGTCTTATGCCAGTGTCCTATTTTCTCTGGAAGCTGTGAGAGAGCTGAAGCCAATATGAGCAACAGCTCTAGCCTTATCTAGCAGAGTGAAAAGACAGCTGTGCTTCAAGAGCCTATGGATAGAACAGAAAGGACCAAGTCTCTGTGATTTGATCTTCTTTCTGAAGTGGATATTCCTAAGCAAGCCTCTAGCACAAGAGCCTTCCTGGAGTTTTCAACTCTAAGAAACCCAAAGGGGCATACTGAGAAAAGGCAGGCACAGTGATATATGGACAAAAGAGGACCCCTTTCAGGGAACAGTCTCCCCAACAAGGGAACTATTGCCTGTAAGGAGGGAAAAGAATTGACCAAACTTTGTAAGTCTTTCTGGGCTGGTAATTATGGCTTACAATTCAAAATCAGCAACTACACATTTTTATGGGCCATATTCATATGCAATCTGCAAAAAGTGACAGTTTAAAATGAGTTGTGATGGTAAACACCAATAATCCTAGCACTCAAGAGGTTTAGGCAGGTGTACAGGGAGTTCGAGGTCAGCCTGGGCTACCTAGTTAGACCCAAAACAACAAAAAAAGAGCTGTCATGTTGCTGCCTTATAGTTTATGCTAAAATGTTAATTTTTTCTCAAGGAAATGCAATCCGAGGCAGAAGAATTTTACACTTGACTGCTATTGCTGTTGTTTTTTATGGTACTGAAACTTGAACTCAGGGCATCAACACTTACTAGGCAGGCATCTACTTTTTTCTGTTGGATATTTTTTTTATGGTACTGAAACTTGAACTCAGGGCATCAACACTTACTAGGCAGGCGCTCTACTTTTTTCTGTTGGATATTTTTCAGATCAGGTCTAGCAAACTATTTACCCAGGCTGGCTTTGAACCTTGATCTTCCCAATCTCTGTCTCCTGAAAAACTAGCATTACAGGCATTAGCCACTGGCACCTGGCTTGCTATTGTCATTTTAATTTAAGGACAATTGGTCCAAAGCAGTCTGCAAGGCAATGGGCTAGGTTGTTTTCTGCGAGTGTGAGCAAGGATGGGAAGAACAGAATGGCAAGAGGGGTGTGGCTAAGAGGAGATGCTTCTGCAACAGTCTGTCAGCCCAGAGGGAGCAGGCTGATGGGGAGATACTTTAGCAACAATGCAAAGGTGGCGATACAGCTCAGTTAGGACAGTAAGCCTAGTGTAGATGTTTAGAGCAGTTCTCAATTCTGCCAAGATCAGCTTGGGGGAACACAATGGGGCAGGGTCATCTTTGTGTCCTAGCACATCAGAGTGCTGATACAGCACATTACTAGGCTGCTTGGAGGCCCCAAGGACCAGGGATGCTATTGTTCACGGTCAAGAGCATTCAGAAAGAAGGAATGGGAGTTCTCTGGTGGAGGAACGACCATGAAAAACATTGAACAGAGGAAGAAATAGTCCTTATCCCTTACAAATCTGTACAATGTAAATTACAAGGTACTCAGTGGAAAGAATATAGGTAGAGGAAGACATTCTGATCTAGGCCACCAGGAACTTGAACTATCCCTGAGAGATGCCCTGGTTCTCAGGTTCCAGGGTGGCCTATTGTTGCAGCTTGTTGATATTCCTTTGCTGCTTGTTACTGTTTTGCTCTTTAGGAGAAGACCAGTGCCACTGTAGATACTGTGTTTGACATCAAGACACCATATTTGTCTTGGCCTGATGTTTCCATAAAGGCTTCAAGTGCAGGGAGCCATAGGAGGTCTTAACAAATTAGTCATAAGTAGCCAATGATACTCCATAGCACACTCCAGTGATGCCTCAACAATCCTTTCTAAACAGAGAGTACTTTTTGGCATCTGTACAGTTGGACCATGAAGTTTGGGTTGTACCATATGCTGTGTTTATGGATGGAACACCTTGTCCATCCACATAAGAAGCCCATTGTTGCTTCTTTTTCTTCCCTGGTATAACTGAAGATAATTGGGTTGGGTGTGGTGGCCCACAACTATAATCATAGTTACTTGGGAGGCAAAAAGTAGGAGGATCAAGGTCCCAAGAGTCTGGGCAAAATCTCAGGGTCTCTTCAGACCCTATCTCAAGAGTAAACTAAAAGCAAAAAGACTGGGATGAAGGTCAAGTGGTAGAGCACTTGCCAAGCAAACAAAAGGCCCTGAATTAATTTCCTAGTACTGCAGGGAAAAAAAGAAAAAAGAAAAAAGATGGATCGCAAATGCCTTCCTTAATGCCTCTCCATCTGGGAACATCATTTCATCCTGGGTATTTGGAAGAAATCACCTGTAAGTCTAACCCTGAAACAAAAAAGAAAGAGTCCTGAGAGTTAGCTCAGTGGTAGAGTACTTGCCTAGCATGTGGGTTTAATTCTGGGGGAGGAAGAGAGAAAGGAAAGAGAAAAACACTCTGAGAGTGCCATGTGCCAGGTTTATATGCAGGCTTCTTCATGTAATGATAGTAATGATTTAAAATGACAGGTCTCCAGGCTCGGCTGACCAGGAAATATGATAGAAAATACCCTACCATGAGAGGAGTTGGTGAGCGGTAAAGAGTAGAGGGCAGAGAGCTAGCCCTCCAGCATTCCCTGGGGTCAACTGCGAATTGTTCTGGATGGCATTTGTTTATTAGTGTGGAGATGACCGGGATAATAAATAAAGAGTAAGAACTCAAGTGGTAGAGTGCCTGACAAGCAAGCGTGAGGCCCTGAGTTCAAACCCCAGTACCACCAAAAAAAAAAAAAAAAGAATAGGAACACATGCTCTCACTGCTGGTGACTGGTTGTCAGTTCTGTAGTCTAGCAGGCACCTGTGTGTTCAATCCTGGGACCCTACCCATGACCTGACTTCCTGGGGACTTGTCTCTCCGTCCTCCCTAGGTTCCAGCCCTGAAGTCTTACATCAGGAAAATGGGGAACATGGTTCAAGATGACCAAGGCAGTGTGGGATGCCCAGTGTAGGATAAGCAATGGGGAATGTCCTCCAACTCTTTCCTTCGTCTAAATCAAAGAATCAGTCTAGGTTCCAAAGCACTGAGGAAAGTGTGGCCTTTTCTCTAATCTAAAGAGAAAAGAATTCAAATTCAGAAAAATCACCACCACAAAATTCCCTTTTTCATATTGTGTTTTGATAATGAAAAGACTCTTGGGATAAGACACATGAATCAAAAAGTTGCTTTTTGGGGGTCTTGAGACAGGTCTTTGTGTTTCTCAGTGTTGAGATTCAAGGCATCTTGACTTATTAACATAATTAGTACTCAATATCTTGACTCTATGTGAGTGCCTGTGGGCTGAGTAGAGTTCAGTGAAAGGATGGAGCACTTCTCCTACTTTGCTTTTCCACTGTGATTCAAATCATTAATTTTCTTAGTTTAGTAATAGGGAAACTTGTTCCATTCACTCCCCCCATAGAAACAGTATGTGCTGTTACGGTGATGATTGACATTTTCGCATCTTCAGGCTAATTTTGATTGAAAAGCATTTCAAGTTCTGTAGAGCCAGATCCTCCAGATGTCTGCACTGTGGCTGCTTCTGGGCCTTCTGGCCCTGACCGGTGAGTGTGTTTCATTTTTTTCCAAATGATCTTGGAAATGGAAAGGAGAAGCAGATATACATCCTGGTACCTTGACACTTGAAACTGTAGAGGGAAAATCTTTTTCCCCCAAGACAGCCACTAAATCCTGTTAGGAACAACCCCTGACAAGCAGTCTTTCTCCAAATGTCCCAGGAGATGATGGGGTTCCCTAGAATTCAGGGTCAGCTTACAAGAGCATTGGTTGGGGCTAGATGTTAAATATTCACCATTGATAACTGCTCATTGCCCACTACAAAACACTCTTTCACCAAAAGTATTTATTGAATTTATTTATAGATTATATGTTTCCATAGAAAGATTAAAGTGGCTGACATAATAAAACTAACATAATCTGAACAGAAAATTAGTACCAAAGGAATCAAGATGTGACTATGCCTAACCACCAATGCTTATACAGCTATTGCCATTGAGTGCTGACTTTGGTCCCATGTTCCTTGTGACTGGAACAAAAAGTGAAAGTACTTGGTTTTTGGTAAATAAAAGGAGGAAGTATAGCTCCTTAGGAGAAGCAAAACTTTTCCTGGCTCTAAACTTAAAAAGTTTCCCAGATGGGATCATATATTCATCTATTTATTTATTGATTGATACATTCATGCAGCAAATATTTTTAACTTCCTATGATGTACTAAGCACTGGGAATATAAGGAACTTTGATGATCATATAACATAGTTAGGGAGAGGTCCACAAGGCAGGCAGCAATGATAAAATCAACAGCTATATTATTTGTCGTCATTGTACAGATAAAAGTTCAATGATTAAAAAAAGTAAAGAGAAAATGTCAGACATGGTGGTACATACCTGTAATTCCAGCACTCAGGAGGCTGAGGCAAGAGGATGGCAAGTTAGAGGTTAGCCTGGTCTACACAGACAGACCCAGTCTCAAAAAAGCAAAAAACTACTACCACCATCACCAACAAAAACCTTAACAAGAGCACATTGGCTTGGTTTTAGTATTCTCAGAAAGACCAGGTCTTTCTTTTCACATTTCTCTCAGATTATGCATCCCAAATTTGTAAAGTAGAAGTATTTATTCCAAAATAAAGTATTTTCAGATGTCAATTCCATGAAGCTGTTAGTAAGAACATGGAATCTAAAAATGCATTCATGTAAACATACAGGACACATATGATATGCAAATGTATTTCCAACAATCTACAAATCATTACAATTTGATGCTATCACCTACCTTAGTTATAGAATAAAACAAGATTTAAAAGCACTGTAATGAGGAATTCTCACAGGCTTACAATGATGAGATGATTTTCAGAAGGAGCAATTCCCTGAAGGTATCTTGTTACCATTCCTGCACCCTGCTCCTGGGGTGAACTGTAAATTTACAATCCTTCCTCAGAATCTGCAGGATATGGGAGATTGGTTCCAGGACAAACACCCTCTAAAGCTCAAGACAAAATTCTCAGACACTCAAACCCCCTATATAGAATGGTGCAGTGTATGCAAATAACCTGTGCATATCCTCCTGTGTAAATCATCTCTAGATTATAATACCCAATACAATGCAAATGCTATAGAAATAGTTGTTGTACTGTATTATTTAGTGAATAATAACAAGAAAGAGGGTCTTTACATGTTCTGCACAGACAATCTTTTCCCAAATATTTTTGACCTGTAGTTAGTTGAAACCACTGATCTAGAACTCACAGATATGGAGGGCTGATTGTATATTATAAATATACATTCCACCCTCCTTCTGGAATGCCCTTCTCTTTGTTGGCCTCTGTGAAATCTAAGTAGTGTCTGAAACATCTCCCCTTCCATGATGACTAGAATGTTAGTGGCCGATTGAGGAAGATGTTAAAAAAATAAAAGGAAGAAGCAGAAAGAGGGAACCCCCAGATAGAGACATAGTTCTATGCCTCACCTGGGTTTGTCTCCTCTTTGCAACCTTAGGCCTCCACCAAAAATGCACTGAGATCCCAGTTCCAGTGCCTGAACAATGCCTGTACTTTGAGTCTGGGTGGAGACTTAGGCTTTAAAACACACGTTTCTTTCATAAACAAATAAACACATGTTTCTTCAGAGCAAATATGAATAGCTTCTCAGACCAGTGAGTTGGGAGAATTGTGGAGAGAAGTGCTGAGAATTCCTATAGGAGGTAATATGAGGACTAAGGTATAGATAATCTGATTTGTTCCAAGACAGCCACCAGACAGCAGAGTACAACTTCTCCAATAGTCCCTCCTGTCTACTCTATAGAACAGAAGGTGGGGATTCAGAATCAACGTGGTGGCTGTGATTACTTCTTAGTATACTGTTAATTTAAATTTCAAAAGAATTTGAAGCCCAGAGTAAACTTCTTGTTCTTACTGATTTTTGTTATAGTTGTTCTTATTAATGCCAGTTCATTCACAGCAGGATGATGGGAGCTATCATAGTTCAGTGACTTGGGTTGAACTTTTCCTCAATCTGCAGACTTATCTGAAAGCAGCAACTGGGGTTGCTATGGAAACATCCGAACCCTGTCTACCCCAGGAGCATCTTGTGGGATTGGAAGACGTTATGGCCTGACCTACTGCGGTAGTTACAATCTGTGTGCCTACACTTGCCCTCTTGGCTCCTGCTGTTTCTCACAACTTCACACCACAGAGTGGGGGGTAGAGAACTGAGTTATGGGTCCAAAGATATTGTCAAGAGTCCTGGCTCTGCTTCTTGCACAAGTCATTAGCTTCCCTGAGCCCCTGTTGAAACTGGAGTAAGTCTTTCTAGTGTTGTAAAGTCTGATCAATACAATGGGATAAGCGTGCTTCCTAAGTCATAAAAGTACTTAGAAAGTAAGGCTAGCCATGTAAATTAGTATAAGCTTTCACTTTACGCAGCATTCATATTAAACGTTTGAACTTACATGATTTCTTCATGTCACTTAGGAATGGAATGATGGCAATTGGGAACAAACCTGTTAAGAGAAAAAAACTCTGTCGATCTATTGAAGGGTTTAGGGGAATTTCTCCTTCACATGGTGGGTTTGTTGTAGATGATAGATGGAAACTGCACATTTTACAAGATAACTCTCTCTAAGGGTACTTTGGGTAGAATCCATGATGTCCATGCCTACAGAATTGTCCTGGGAGGGTTAGAGCATCCCCTCAGAGCACAGCCAGAGGGTACTGGGAGGCACAGAGGATGCCTGCCTCAGGAGACCATGGGACACAGACTCAAGCTCATGGTAAGAGAGGCCAAATCTCAGGGCAGGGTATAGTCACTGCAGATATAGGACCAAAACTTCAGCTCCTCAATCTGGATTGCTACGCAGATCCTTGGCGTGTACTTTTTCCTGGGGCTTCTGGTTCAGTGTAAGTCACATCAAGCTGCATCCTTCCTTCGTGTTTGCTTCAGGAGTTCGTGCTTCTGAAAGGCTGGCTGAGATGGACATGCCATATCTGGTGAGATATCAACCCATAATGCGAAATGTTGGCCGGAGATACTGCGTGGATCCTGCAGTGATTGCTGGTGTCTTGTCCAGGGAGTCTCAGGGTGGCAATGTTCTGGTCAACGTGGGCAGTGCTGGTGATGGAGTCAGAGTGCAGGTAACTCTCCATCAGTCGACCTGATGTGTGGCCTTTCTGCTTCACGGCACAACTCCGAGGAGATGCCATCATGGATTTGTTGAGATAATGGTGCTGCCTCGAGTTGTGAGAGCCACAGCTCTACCTAAGAGAAGCAGGTAGCACCGCTTCTGCTTCATTTAGACCCACAATTTGTTTTCAAAGAAAATAATTCTGTATTTCTAGAATACTATCCAGGGCACCTATTCTAAGTTTGTAATGTGGAAGTGGCCCGGGAGAAAAATCACAGAATGCATCTTTGCCGCATTATTTTCTAGCCATGTGACCTTAAATAAACTGTCTTACCTCATTGGACCTCAGTTTTCCCACCTATAAAATCCTATTCTTCCTCTTTTTTAAATTGTGGTGTTAGGGATCAAACTTGGGGCCTAGTAAGCACTCTACGGCTAAGCTATACCCCCAACCCTAAAATGCCATTCTTAAAATACTATGATTTCAGTGAAATACCGCCTGGTATCTGTAGATTCTCAATAAGCAAATACTAAATTCCTTTTTCCTTGTTTTCTTCCTACACAATTCTTAGTTTTGAAGACTGAGTCTTATTTTTGGCACTAATTCTGCCTGATATCACTCGCCAGATAGAGACTTTCAGGGAACTGGACACATCCCACTGTTGGATTAACTCTGTGCTGGGGAACTGGTGATGGCCAGGGTCAGAGTGAAGCTCAATTTTCTTATTACATCTTAGACCATTGTTGAGGACCCTGTGAGCTTTAAGGAAAATTACTGCTCAATGGTCTTTAAACTGACGTCCCATGAGTACTTTATATAAACCTACAATTTAAAAGTTCTTTCAAATATTCTATCTCATTTTGATTTGGGGACCCATCCAATAATCTGATGAGATAGTGGGCACATAATCCATCCTCGACAGAGAGCAAGTGGACTCCCAAGGGGGGAGTCACTGGTGTAAATTCACACTGGAAAATGCAGAACTGGGACCAAGGACATCTTGTCGTGTTAGGGCTGGCATCATTTCCACTGCCCTGCTTGCCAAATCTGGTTCTTGGGAAAAGGAGAAATCCATCTCCTTTGAAGGTGAGTAAGAATCTCCTAAATTCAGGCATTTCCTCTAAATATGGTGAAATGTATGAGGAAGCGGAAACCAAAGGTGCATAAAGAAAGGTTGGAAGGAACGTTAGGCCATCTGGAAGGAGTATTAAAGTACAGGTGGAAAACCTGTTCCTGGCCTACGTGGGGGTTGTGTTTGCAGCGCTGACAGAGAACATCACATTGGTATCTACATGGATTCAATCATCTTTGGCTTCCAACTACACCTGTCTCCATGGCACTGAGGCAACAGTGAAATGACTGCTTGTTTTTTCCTTAGCCCAAATGCTGTAGCCTTACTTTTTTTTTTTTTTTTTTTTTGGTAGCAACAGCTAACATGAGGTCTACCATCTTAATAGGTTTTACTTAAAATAGAATATTGTACAATGCAGTATTGTTAATTATAGGTACAATGTTGTACATCAGATTTCTAGAAAAGTTTTATTGCAAAACTGAAATTTTATATGTGTTAATTAGCAATTCTTCATATCTCTTCCCTCTAGCCTCTGATCACCACCAACTTGTTCTTTGCTTGTATGAATTTGACTATTTTAGATAATCCATGAAAGTGGAAACATGAAGCATCCATCTTTCTGTGGCTGACTTATTTCACTTAGTATAATGTCCTGAAGGTTCATCTAGAGTGTGCATATTGCAGCAAAGGGGGTGCTGTTTCTCACACTCCCTCCCTTGCTGGAGCGAGGTTTTCTCTCTCACTCCTTGGTTATTACTGGACCTAACTGGGCTTAACTGGAGGGGGGGGGTGACTGGAGACTCAGAAGAGACACAGGATAGACAGACAGACAGACAGTGGGGTCACATGTGTTGTACGGTTGGCTGGAGATGCACAATCATCATTGCTTATCTTCTCTCTCTTGATTCTTTAAGGCCTTGCTCCTTGTAGTTCTTTAAAACCTCTTTCCTTAGGCTCACACTTCCCATGTTTGCTCTTAGTTTATCTTTAGCTTAATCACTCTTAAAGTCTTTGCCCCCAGGCTTGCACTATCTCATCTCTTTAGGTCTCTTTTTTATTTTATTTTATTATTTTTTTTATTCACATGTGCATACAATGTTTGGGTTCTTTAGCTCTCTTAAAGCCTCAGTGCTCAAACTTGCAAACAGCCTTGCCTACGACCTGCATATGCATATCTCTTAAGGTCTCGGTCCTTAGACTTGCACTGTGCGCTATCCCGTGTTCTCTTTGGCTTTTCTTTAGCATTAGTTTTCCTAAGGCCTATGTATGAAGTTCTTTCTCAGCTTTGCTTTCTGAAGCCTATGTTAAAGCTCTTGGTGCAGACTTTCTATCAACCCCTCTTTAGCATTTTCCCTTTAACAATTCTTTTCCCTTCAGCAATTCTTCCCTTCAATAATTCTTTTCCCTTCCAAAAGCTCTCTACACCAAAAGGTCCAAAGTAAAAGCTTCTTCCCAATATTCAAAGGCAAAAAGTCCCCCAAAGCAAAAAGCCAAAAGCCAAGTAAAAAGTCTAAAAGCCCAAAGTAAAGCCCCAAAAGGCAAAAGCCCAAAAAGCCCCTCTTCCTCCTTCAGGGGTCTTTTATAGCAGCAAACAGAGGGGAGCCACAGGGAGGGGCGTGACATTGTAACAAGAGAAACCTGCATTCCTGCTTCTCTGAACACAGCTTAGGAGACTCAGCTGTTCTGCCTTTCCCTGTTTCGTGGTAGAGGGCTGTTCCTATCTCGGCCTGCAGGTAAAAGCGTTGCTTGTGTCCAGTTCTCAGAGGCTTTAATCCGCTTCCCACATTGTAGGATTGCGCTCCTTTTTAAGCTGTATAATATTTCATGGATAGATCACATTTTCTCTGTCCACTCATCTGTCAAGGACTTCAGGTTGTTTCTACCTTTGACTATTAGGAGTAGCTCTGAAATGAACATAGGAGTGCTACTAACTCTGTGAGATCCTGAATTCAATTCTTTTGGGTAAATATCCAGAAATGGGATTGCTGGATCATATGGTTCTTCTAATTTGAATTTTTGGAGGAATCTCCACACTGTTTTCCATCAACATTGCACAAAGATTCCGATTCCTTCACATCTCACCAACACTTATCTTTTGTGTTTTAGACAACAGACACCCTAATAAGTTTAAGAAGCTTTACAATTTAATCTTCAGGGAAAGATGGCATTGGTTCCTCCAAAGGTGGAAGGAGAAAAACAAAGCAGCACTGATCTCATGAAGCTGCACCCCTCTCCCACCTAGCTCACTGCTTTTTCCTTTGCTTTCCTCCCTCCAGGACTCAAACTTTTATGCTCCCACATCCTGGATCAGTGAGCCCCAGGTTTCCCAGGCAACTGAGGTTCTGACTGCTAGAATCAAAGAAATCCAGACCAGGTTTCCAACCTGGACCCCTGACCAGTACCTGAGAGGTATGTATAATGCCACTGGTTGGTTGTTTCAAGCAGGGAATCAATAGGAACAACAGGGAATCAATAGGAACAAATGTAATGCACTGCACCAGATTCCCCCACACCACAGTTAGACAAGAAAATCTGAGTATCCTGAAGTAAGCAGGGGCTTCTGAGTTTGGATTAACCTGTCACATGAATTCCAGGTGGTCTCTGTGCCTACAGTGGGGGTCCGGGCTTTGTCAGAAGCAGCCAGGACCTGAGCTGTGACTTCTGCAATGATGTCCTCGCAAGAGCCAAATACTTCAAGCAACATGGCTTCTAGCACTTCAGATGAAACCCAAGTTCATTGTCATACAAGAGGCCTCAACTGTCCCACAGCTAAATCTAGCCAGGGGGGTCTACAGGGAATCTGAGTTTGACCTGAAGGTTGTCGAAGTAACATGAATCACATTAAAGAAAGAATTATTACTTACATTCTGTGTTCTGGTGTGTGTGTGTCTGTGTGTGCGTGGGGCATGCACTATGAGCTTTGTCTCCTTAAAGATATCTCTACAGATGTTAGTGGTAATGTGGATTTCTGTGAAATTAATCCTACCACTGCCAGGTTCAGAAAATAAAAGTGCAGGAATCCAGTATAAATGTGAATTCCATATAAACAATAAATATTTAATTTTAAAAAGATTTTTGGTGCTGGGAATTGAACTCAGGTTCTCATGCATGCTAAGTACATGCTGTATCACAGAGCTACACCCTAGTCTGAACAATAAATAATTTTTGGTATAAGTCTCATGCAATTTTTGGAACACATTTACACTAAAAATTTTTCATTGTCTGAAATTCAATTTTAACAGCTTCCTGAATTTTATCTGGCAACCCTGTCATTCACTTCTTGGATGAAAATCATAGTTTTAAGTTGTAATTGGAAACTTCTGGTGCCATTTGCTGAGTGGAACAGTTTTGGGAAAGTCACTTACTGGCTCTTAACATCAGAGTCATCTCTCTGTCTGTTACCTAAGGTTACCTCTTCCTTTCCTTTACTGGACCACAGAAACTTCACCTGCATTCAAGTTCCCCAACTTTCTGCCCAAAGTATATGGAACTCAACTCTTCCTTTGTTTGGGGCACTTCAGTTACAAATTGCTGGGCCACAGGAGGTACCCCCAAGTACTTTGATTTACTATAATTTACTATACTGGTAAATTATTGAATTTGAAGGTTTGTATTCTACAAACATAATTAATGTCCCCTTCTAGCATTTGAGCAGTATCATCACTTTCCAGTGTCATTCAAGAACAATTGTCATATATCAGGCATGTGTAATCTGTCCCTAAATTTTCTGAACCAACTCTTATGTGTCCAATACTATATAAAATACTATCCCAGGGTCCTGCCTGTCAAATCATAAAAATAATTTAGTTGGAGATAGCAGCCCACACAGAAGAGAGTAGAGCCAACTACACCTATGTACAAAAAACAGATGAAGAGTCCACACCAATGATAGTGTGAAGTGCTCCACCTTCTGTGCCAGAGGCCCCTCCTGCAACCACCTCATGACTTTCGTTGTCCTTGACTTTCCCCAGGACCACTTACTTTTTTGTCTCCCCACTCTTTGCCTTCCAAGTCTTACTGTCAAGGCTGAATCCAGTTAACGGATTCCACGCAAGAACATGACTTTCAGACCTCATGAATGCATTCCCTTTGGAGATGTGCATTTCACTGGTACAGGAAAATACGATGTGAGGTCCTGGCTATGTGACCTCTAGGGAAACATTTGGGTGAAAAAAGTCACAGTACTGAGGCTGCCTCTGAGAGTTCCAACCTTAGACTCATGTGCTCAGTAAGTGGGAGTAACTTGTGTATATGCAAGTGGTGTTTCTCATCCCAAGAAACATCCAGTCAAGGATGACATCACCATGGGATCTCTGGGAAAGGTGAAGAGTGAGGGGTTACTGAAAAAAGGTATTGATTATATAGTGACTGATAGAACAATAATGTCACCACTTATAAATCAGTGGCCATTTTATCCTCAGACCTCACTTGAGAAACTTCCAAGGACAGCCCTGCTCTTAAACAGAAAATCCCGCTCTCTAAGACAGCCCCACCCCTACCAGAGACTACTGCACATGTGCTAACTTCCTTAACCTCCCCCTTCTGTAAAAGCCATGCCTGGCCCAGATTTGCTGCTGCGCCATCTTTTCCCCAGCCAGCCTGTCAGTTTGGGCCTGCATTAAACTTTGCTCTATGGACGTGAGAATTTTCCAGTGAGCTTTCTTTGTGAGCGGCATTTTTCCTGACATTTGGTGCCGTGACTCAGATCGGGGTGCACTCCCGGCACTGACCTTGCTCTCCTGGTCTCCCCCACCCCATCCGGCTCTCTCTCTCTCTCAACTTCCATTCCCTTCCTCTGGGATCTGAGCTGCTTTACCGGGACCCCCAATCCTAGAAAACGCCGCTCCCTCTTTAGCTCACAGGGAATTTCCTCTGTCCCAGCGTGCCTCCAATTGCCATCCACCACCAGCCAATCTTCTCTCAAGGTCCTCTCTCTTGGTGAGTCCTCCTAGCATGCAGAGCTGTGATCTCTCTCTCTCTCTCTCTCTCTCTCTCTCTCTCTCTTGTTTCCTTGAAATCATAGCACTAGGTCTCAGCTCGCTCCCATCCCTGGGAACCGGGTTCACCACTAGGGACTGTGGACCCCCCATGGTGAAGACAGTCCCTCTGGGTGCTCCACATCTCTCTCTCTCTCTCTCTCTCTCTCTCTCTCAGACCTGATATTTTGGGGATGCCTGTCATGTCTCTCCTCAGGTCAGGCCTCACCATGGGAATTGGACCATCCAAAATTCCTTCAGACTCCCCATTGAGATGTCTCCTGGCCAACCTCAGGCCCCTCCACCTAATGCCTGATCTTAAGCCACAAAAGCTCATTTTTCTCTGTAATCAGGCCTTGCCTCAATACCCATTAGACAATACCTCCAAATGGCCACTTAATGGCACTTTCAATCCCAATATTTTAAGGGATTTATACAATTTCTGTGAGCATGCTGGTAAATGGAAGGATTTCCCTATGTCCAATCTTTTCCCTATCTCCGCACCAAACCATCCCTCTGTATTTCCTGTTCCCCTGCACAGGTTCTATAGCCTCTAAACCAGCTTCTAAATGAGCCAAATTCTCTCCTGAACCTCCTCCTTCCCCATGTAAGCAGACTCCTTGCGCTGCTCAGGCTGCCTGTCTCTTCCTATCTTCCTGAAGGACTTTTCCGTCATAGTGCCACACCAGCCACCCCTCGCCAACTCTGGCCTCACAGTGATTCCAGCTCTGGGGAGCCCATGCTCCCTCCCTGTGGGCTGAAACCAAGCCCAGGGTTTATTCAGTGACTGGAGAGTGGAGGTTTCATGTTGCTGAAAGTGTTCCAGTACCAGTCAATGGGAGCAACCTAGAGACACAGGTGATGGCTAATCCCTCAGGCATGTGTCATGCCTCCAGGCTCTGCCTTCCCCTCCCTTACCTAAGATGTCAGGCACCTTTTCTGCTCCCTCCATGGTCTCACCACACATCCTTTGTCTCTGTCTTCCTTCCCCTCCCTGAGCTTACTGGGACCCTGCCTCCCATGAAAAATTTGTAGTATGGTATCTTATGACTTAAGTTATTCTAACTAGTTTGCCAGGCCTCTCAGTCTAAAGTAACTTTAAACCAACTGCTTTACAAAAAGCGCTTACAAAAAACTGTGGCTGCCATGCTCATGCCCTAACTCCACCCCAACAAGGGAAGGAGGGAAAACAAACAGGCACACCTGTGCACAGGATGCCGGCTCCTGGACACAGCGAAAATGCCTGCCATAGCTAAGAAAATCCATAGAGAGGACCCAGCAAATCCTGGGCCACCAGCCACACGTTGTGATGGCTGCAGCCCACCGCCACTTCCCCTAGAATAAATGTGCACAGAGTACACAGGAAGGGGGGGAGGGGCGACAGGCCGCAGGGTCCTAGGCAATCAGGGTCCTTTGTTCCAGGTGTGTGTGGAGGCGGTCGATGCCTTGCACAAGCCCTGCTCCTAGCCCCACCTCACATCTCAGGGCACCAGACCCAGCTCTTGTAAGCCAATTGTTAGGTCAACATTATAGTCCCAGAAATAACACATTACTGTGATCTCTAGACTTCTCATTTAAAATTTTCTATACTTTTGGCCTCAACATAAATTTTCCTTCCAAAAATTAACACTAGTTGTCCTGTATGATACTGTTATTGGCCCAAAATGTCCTCTAAATGCCCTTCTCTAACTTTACAGACAATTTATTCCTTTATTAAAAAGGTAGCCTCTATTAAAGAGGCTGCCTGCTGTTAACTAAAAGACAGGATCCTAACGTTTTGTTCTTTCTAGATGAGACCTGCACCTTCCAGTTTTCTGGCTTGTAGATGTTAAAAGCTTTGTACTGAAGCCTGGCCTCAATATGCCTTGGGTGACCAAGAGAAGTGGCCTTCACAGGGTTCCTTAAATTACAATACCATACTCCAATTAGAACTTTTCTATAAAAGTAAAAAAAATAAACTGAGGTCCCCTATGCAAATTTCTACCTTCTAATCCACCCCAAAACTCAGAACCTCCTAATGGGTGCTTCCCCCTTCAACAGGTAATGATAGGAAGAAGGTGATCTATCAGCTATCAGATCTAAAGGAAATTAAAAAACATCTAAACAGTTGTACTGATGCCCAGACAAATACATTCAAGCCTTTATCTCTGTAATCCAAACCTTTCAATTGACATAAAGGATATTATGCTTCTACTAGAGCAGACTATTTTCTCATTAGAAAAGCAGTGGGTTCTGGCCCAGGCCACTCAGGTTGGAAAGGATTACCATTTACAATGAGCCCCAATACTAGTGGCACATGGAAATGAGGGAATAAATGTGCCTACCTACAGGGGCACAGGCAGTCCCCTTGACTGATCCACACTAAAAGGGGCTGATGATATGGCTCAAGCAGTAGAGTGCCACTTTGCAGGCATAAAGTCCTGAGTTCAAGCCCAGTACAGCCAAAGGAAAAAATACATAGATATTTGGGGATAAGGACATAGCTCAGTGAGAGAGTGTCTGCCCAGCATGTACAAAGCCCTGGGTTCAATTTCCCAACTTTACTAAATCAAAAATAATAATAAAGAGGATAAATGGTGTTAATGCCACTTCAGCCATCTCATAGTGGAAGAAAGTAATTTAACCTAGACCAGATCCCTCATTCTTCAAGTGAGGAAACTGAGGCCCAGAACGGTTTGGAGACCTGCTCTCCAGAGTGTCAGGTGTCAATGTAAAATAACAATTGTGCTTTACAGCA